AGAGAGAGAGAGAGAGAGAGAGAGAGAGAGAGAGAGAGAGAGAGAGAGAGAGAGAGAGAGAGAGAGAGAGAGAGAGAGAGAGGAGAATACGACAGGCGGAGAACTACTTTGGTTTTCTATCAGCCGGTGAGCTGAGGAGGGGAAGGGGTAGAAATATGACGGTGCGGACGGCAGGAAGAAGCGGGATGGGGGAACGACTAATTCGGGTTTTCAGTTCACCATATTCCTTCCTCCCTATTTTCCCCTTCCATGTCATCCACCTGCCACGTGTTTGTTCTGTTGTCCTCCTTCATGCCCTCTCCTCCCCTCCGCTTCGTGCTCCTCCACGTCAGCCTCTTCATTTGTCGTGTTCCAAGTGGAAGGAGAGCACGGGAAAGGACGGGACGGAAATGGAGAAACGATGATGATCCGAATATAGAATGGGGAGGAGGGGGCGGAGAGATTAGATGACGATGATGATGACGATGATGATGGGGGTTAGGAAGATGAGGATGCTGATGTGATGAAGCTGGAGGGGCAAAGGGGGAGGAGGAGGCTATGGTGATTTCGTTTTCTTTCTCTTTATTGATGACCATTTTGCTTTCTGTTTTGTTTGCCATGGTCCCTCCACCTCATCTTTCTCCTCCTCCATGTCCTTTTTCTCTGTGTCACCCTTCTCCACTTCAGCTCCTCCTCCTCATCCTGCTCCTTCTTCATCTTCTCCATGGGATGCCATATCGCTCAGCCCCGGGAGAGTGCGGGAAGGGCCATTATATGATACTTGCACAGGGGTTAGGAAGACCAGAAAAAAAAAAAAAAAAAAAAAAAGACTAGAAGGGTTTTCATGTTTCCGTTCCTACTTCTCCATGTCTTTTTTGCGTTATGTGATCCTTCTCCTCAGCCCCGAAAGAGTGCATGAAATACCTCATCACACTTACACTGAGGCTAGAGAGTCTGCAAGGGTTTTCAGTTCTCGTTGTCGTCCTCCACATTCACCTCCTTCCGCAGATGCAGGCGGTGTACACACAGACACACACAGACACACACACACACACACACACACACACACACACACAGAGAGAGAGAGAGATAGAGAGATAGAGATAGATAGATAGATAGATAGATAGATAGATAGATAGATAGATAGATAGATAGAACACTTGCGAATTGGACAATACGTGCGAGGCTTTACTCTCGCAGAATACACGTCCTGCCCATGGCATGCGACAACACGAAGTCGCGATCAGAGAGAGAGAGAGAGAGAGAGAGAGAGAGAGAGAGAGAGAGAGAGAGAGAGAGAGAGAGAAGGCAAGCACGACACACGGACAACGGTGGCTAATCAAAGTCATATTTAGACATTAGAGCAGACAGAGCAGGGATTGGAATTATCAGCAAACAGATCAACAAGACAGCATCTCTCACAAAAGTGTTCGAGTTCTCAGACTGCAGCAGTGCGGGTCTTCGGACACACCACGAGAAAAATAAATAAATAACGTTCCTCCCATGGAGCACATCATACTATACCAGGTGAATTACTACTACTGTTTTATTGCAAGCGAAGCTGCGACGGGTCATCTAGTCCCGTTTGATCGGGTTTATTACGTAATGTACTTGCCGTCCCTTTATTGGATCGAGTACAGCACTAGTGCTTCCTAACTCCACGGCGAAACGAACGCGAGAAAACTGGGGGGGAAACGGACGTCGCCATCCTCCTCCTTCTCCTGCTCCTCCATGTTTGTTTTTTTAATGCTAATCCGCCGGCCTCAACAGCTTCCTCGAGCCGACATCCTTTCTCCCTGCGGGAGAATATCATTTCTATTATTTATTTATTAATATACTAATACAGTATGTTAATAACATCAACTACGACACAGAGAGATCAGAGAGATGCCCACGTCATCCGGCACATCCGGATCGGGACTGATCACGCGTCATCACTTACTACCTTCGTCCTCCTCATAGAACGTACGGTCATTATCGCTGTCTGTGGACCGACGTTGGCCCAAATGCAGGCATAATTATCGCTGAATGTTGACCGAATTTGGCCCAGGTGCAGGCGTAATTACCGAACGCTCTACCCGCGTGAAGACGGCAGGTCGAAAGAGGGCACATTGTTGTGTTGATATATTTGCCTGTTCCCTTCCTCTTCTCTTTGAACCTACATCCACGTGGGCGGGGGCTTGTACGCAAGAGGAGGTTCTGAACAGGGGGAGTCTTGTAAGGAAGAAGATTAAAAAATGAATTGATAATTTTTTTTTGTTTTCCTTTGTTTTTTTTTTCGCTTTTGCGCTCTGATATTTATGTGATGATATATACATCGACGGCCATGTGGGAGGCTTTAGGATAGCGTCGTGAGAGGGAAGGGTGGCAAGGCACACACAGCAAGGGGAAAAAAAAGGTAACGAGACAACGGGCAGCGAGTCCATCAGGTAAGCAGCATAAGAAAGAGGATACAAGGAGACGAGGGAAAATGCAGTCAAGCAAAGAAAAAGGAAGAAAGGCGAAGGACAGTAAGGCAATGCGGCGGCGAGGCACATAGGTAGGAGGGCACGGGGAAGGCGGGTGGGGAGACAAACATCACAACTAAGCAGATATAGGGAAAGAGGCACGAAGTACATGAGCCAAACCGAGATAAACAGCGATGAAATAAAACCATAAAGAGGAGGAGGGGACGGTGAAGGCGGGTGTGGGCAGACAAGCATCGCAGAGCAGCTAGAGAAAGCAAAGCAAAGGACAGTAAGGCTACCGTCTTCCCCCGAACATAACGCACCCTGAAAATGAACGTATGCAAGGCATGTTTCCGGCCCGATACAGTCAAAGTGAGGGTGCGTTGTGTTCGGGGGAAGACGGTAGGCGGCAAGGCACATAGGCAGGAGGGCACGGGGAAGCGGATGGGCAGGCAAACATCACAAAGCAGGTAGAAAAAGCACCGATGACACAAAACAATAAAGAGGGAAGAAAATAAACAATAAAATATTATAACATCTGACAATGATTGGTTGTTTCACCGGACTTGCACTAAGCGGGGGGGGGGAAAAAAAAAACAAAACAAAAAAAAAACAATGAAATAAAACTGATGATGATAGGTTGTTTCGTCGAACTTTCACTGACTTATCAGTGGGCTGGCTGAACCTTGACAATCTGCATAATCCCCATTCTGATGCTGCTTCTTTTTTTTTTTTTTTTTTTGGTTGTGGTTAAAATGATGCTCATGGATCATGAAACCCTTAGCCCCTTGCTGAGAGCAGGCTGCCAGCAGGGCAACAGCGCAAGCGGACAAAGCAGCAGGGGCAATGACTCAGCAAAGCACCAGCCGGGCAACGCTGCAGGGTGCAGGAGCAACCCAACTGCACAACATCAAGGCTGAGTGCATGGAACAAAAGGGCAAGCAGACAGGCAGTAGGATAACACAACACACCAGAAAGCACAAGGTGACATTGCCAAAGCAGCCAAACCACAAGGGACACAAGTAAAGCGCAAGGGGAAGATGGATGGGCAGCAAGGCCACAGGGCGGCGAAGCACAAGGCACCACCAACAACGCAGACGAACGGCAAAGAACAACATGGGGAGCAAGTGGAATGGGAAGCTGCGGAGCATAGATAGACTAAGGCAGTCTGCATTCAACACGGAGCAAAGCAGTCCATCACCTACTCACACCACAAGTGAACTCCTCAGACATTGTTGGTTCCCACCATCTAATGAGCCAGGGAGTCACGCAAAAGGAACACCCTTCATCACCCCTAGGAAATACAGGCATCCCTTGTGTGTGTGTGTGTGTGTGTGTGTGTGTGTGTGTGTGTGTGTGTGTGTGTGTGTGGGTGTATTTTTGCATCAGCTATCTGGACCCGCCACTGCATACCCTGGTAGCTGTCAGCTATTGGTCTAAAGGAGCCCACGTTCTGCCCCACTTGCCATCGCTATATGTGCCTCTCTCTCCCTTTCTCTGGCCTGCCGGCCCTTTGTTACCTCACCATCAGGGCAGCAGACATCCCAGCCCAGGTACAATGTAATCACAGGCCAGGCAGGCCAGAACTAAACAGGCTCTTTTTTGCCCTTTTAACTCTTGACATTCTTGTTCATGCATGTCATCCTCGCGCAGGGGGCATGCCAAGTAAGTAATGATTAGTAATCTTCTCTGTATCGTTCTGATCTTAACGGATGTTCGGAATATGACGATCTGAACAGGATTTGGTCTGGTTTCCTGAGTGACTTCGTTGCGGAAGACATCCCTCTGAGCAACAGGAAATCCCCGTTCTCCTCTCCCCTTTTGTTCTGACCGAGCTTGGCGGTCATGCATATTCGCCACTGCTTCGCTGCATGCGTGCTTTTCTTTTCTTTTCTTCTTCGTCTTTTTTTTTTTTTTCTGTGAAAGTTGGCATCAT